AGCACCACCACCACCACCGCCACCGCCACCAGCACCACGACCTGTTGCTGATGTTCGGCACAGTACAAAGCAATCTACCTCGGCCGAGACAGTCTCTGCAGGAATTGCAATGGGCAATGTGAGAGTCGGGCATCCCTGGCTGCTCCACGGCTGTTATTACTGGACCGACTGTAAATTGCGCAGGTGCAAATTCAAGCTGTCAGGAACCGTCTTTGTTTCTGGACTGTTCTTCTTGCTTTTGTCTCGGCTTCCGCAGGTCTTTCAACCCTTCCTTCAGTTCTGGCTTACTTTGCAGAACTCATCTAGCCCTGATGCCGCTGCTTGCTTGATGTTGCTTGTGATTGCTGCAGGTATTATGTCTACGCGATCATTCCCCTCATCGTGGTGTGGATAGTCCGGCAGGAGATTCCAAGTATTCCTTGAGACAACAAAACCCAACCGCCCTCGAATTTGACCTGTTGTTTGAAGCTGGTTGGTTCTCCGGCAGGAAACGATGAATTCAATGCGATTCTTGGCCGGCAGACACAGTCGCGGTATTAAAATTGCGGCAACAAGGATGCGGCACCACGATGGCTTTCGATTCGGGTATCGGACCAAGCTCTGGAGTTCTGCATTGAGCTTGCTTGCCGAACTGCCACGCTCTAGTGTAATTAAACTCTACCGTCATCGACTTTCGTGCAGAACCCAAAAGCAGTCCTGAAAGCCGAGGTATGTTCTGCAAGTCACGGTTTTTGTGGCTGAAGCAACTGAAGATCCCGCAAGCCGCAACAGTACTTGTCGAAGGCAAGTTCAAGTTGGTTGGGTGGTCCGGCAGTTCGGAGGTTTATACTAAAGAGCCATTGATGTTGGATTGCACATTGCTGCACGTCGCTGCGTGCTTTGTGGTTATAACGTCGTGCCTTCAATGCATATGATTCGAGGGCATGATGTTGTAAGCGTTCTGACGCCGGCAAGTCTGGGCCCTATCACCAGGATCCACAGCGACAGTAGTCATTTTAAAACGACAGGAGTACTGCAATGACAATCGTGTCCTCAGTCTCGGAGAATGAATAGTGCAAGTATGTACGAACCATGTTATCTTCCCCGGAAATGCTTTTTTGTTCAAGGAGACAAACCACGCACTGTCCACATGCAGCAGGGTCCACACCAAGAACAACCGCGATGGAAAAGTTTGGTAGAGCAGAAGTGAGAGCTACAGCAGGCGTGGTGCTAGCAACTAGCAATAGTACCGTCAAGAACACTATAAGTGTAAATGAATACCATTACAATGACACCACATTAACTTGACATGTAGAGCTTAGAACCCTGCAAAAGAGAACCATAGGTCGCAGGATATGCTATCTTGGTCTTAATCTGTTATTATGTGACAGTCGCAGACTTTGTGATGCTACAGGCATCCCTGAGGAATATCAGTCGGATGCGAAAGTCCAGGACTGCGAATCTTTAGATCTTTGTAAGTTCAAGGGTTAAGGTTCAGGCTTTGGGGTTGAGGTCTCAAGAGTTGCTGTTTGGTAAGGGAGCCCCACGTTCAACAAAAAACAGGGCTTCGCGTTCCAAAGTGTTACCTCAGAGTCCTTGCGCATCGAATTTTCGTGTTCGCCCGACGCCGAAGCCCCGGGTTTGGAGCAACTGATGTAGTCTGCTGGCTTCCCCCTTCAATGAGCAAAAGCGAGACGATCGCGGTGTGTTTATGGACTTAAGACTGCTGTCGGTCAGATCTCTCGAAGCAGCTTAGGAAGGTCGAGGCCGCAGTGGCAGTGGGGGTGCTTTGCCGCAGTGCCTGTACGGTAGGTTATATAGTTAAAGCATGTTATAGCCTAGCCCCTGCCAGGAGTACTTCAGCCGAATGTTCAGCGCGAAGGACGTGAAGGAGCGACAGTTTCGGCCCGATGCACCAACTGAAAGAAAAGCGCTCCAGAACAAAACTGGGCTTAAGGAATTTCATGCCAGCGTATGTGGCTTGGATGGCCTGCGGTAAGTGTTTGTCGTTTGGCCCCTATCCCAACTTTTCAACATTTTCTAACTTTACAACTTACACGGTTGAAAAGATGTCAGCGATGGAGGTCTGTATCGTGAATGTTGTCGCAGGGTAACCTGAATCAGTTTCAGATGCAGATTCGAAGTTGGCATGTGCTTTTGGCACTGGCGATCCAAGCTCGCTTCTCCTCCATGCGACATGGCGGAAGTCGGTGTGCGTGAGGCTGTGAATGTCGCCAAAAACATGCCTGAGCTGGAGACCGCCGCCCAGCCAGGAGCAAGAACATAAGTGGGGCTCAATGATTGGAATAGGTTTGGGGTAAAATCTTCTATAACTACAATAAAGAGCCCTAAGGAATAGTGTTGGTAATTTGTTCTGTTAGGCTTCCAGTATGTCAGGCCAGGCAAGTCATCCTTTCCACAATCAACTTGGCACTTCAGGTGGAGCTGTGTCGGATAACTGCCCGAACCCCAAAGCAGAGCTCTAGATCCTGAATCGCTGCACCAAGAGACCCAGACCCCACCCAATAAGCCCAACCCCTCAGCCCCTAGACTTAGAGCCCTCAGAGTCGCCTCGCCGAGGTCTATTCAGAGCTTCAGACAGCTGTACAGTCCTTGGCCAAGGTGGAGCAGGACCGCAACCTTTGGCAGTCCTGGAGCTTTCAGAATCGGGTGTAAGGCTTAGGGACCAGACTAAAGGTGATCAGCCATGGTCATGACGGCAGTGCTAGCTGCATGTGTGCTACGGGTCTACAAGTCAGGTCGGATTCATTATGGTCTTTGCAATGCACCCTGCGGGGCTTTGGTAATTCAAGGAATGCAGCAGTGTGTTTGCAGCTTCTTCTGGACCGGAGGAGCCGTGTCTTTCGATCACTAAACTCAAGGCAAACCGAAGATTGAGACCTCACACGATCATTTTGAATGATGACGTCTTGGTTCGCATTGACCCTGAAGTCCAGAGTGCAATGGCGTGTAGTAGCTGCTACTTACGCTGCCTCGATTGGCACATCGAACTGTTTGCAGATGCCTTGAGGCCCGAAGTCTCTGCAATTGACAAAATCCCCGACATCAACACCCTGCAGCTTGATCAAAACTTCCCTTCACCCGACAAACTGTGCCTAACCCTAGAGTCACCTCGTGACTCGGCCCGGTCATCGGATCCTCGCAGTGCGAGGAGTGGGAAAATGCCGGCAAGCCGGATCCTTCGCCTGGAGCATGGGGGATCATTCCTCACGTCCCGTCCCCACTCTTTCGTCATTCCTCCAGTCGGGTTCGGATAGCGCACTTTACAACAGGGACATACACCGGCATAATGGACTCGAGCATGGCACCTGTTGAGTTGCTGCCCACGCCAAAGCAGAAGACAACATGAGTTGACAAGTTTCTGGGTGCACCGTCTCTAGTTAATGGGACCCGCAGCTAAGGAAGACGCACGACCACAGATCAAGCACATGATGGGAAGCCTCACGGGAAGCTCCGAAGATGCAATGGACTACTGGAAAGCAACCATCGAGACGAAATCGAAGGCCAGGAGGAGTTGTGGGTCTGCGGCCGATATGTACGGCTCTTCTTTCTCTCATACTTATGTATGTGTGCGTGTGCGCGCGCGCGTGTGTGTGTGTGTCTCTGTCTCTGTCTTTGTGCAGGTATATGTATATGATTGCCTGACCTGGTCGAGCGCGAGTGCTAAAAAATGTGATTGCATATGTATGTGTTTATGCATAGAATATGTATATCGATATATGTATACATGATCATACATGTATGTGTGTATATGTACATATGTATATGTGTATGGAGAATATGTATAAATTTGTTTATGTATGTGCATTTATATTTATAGATGTACATATGTATGTTTGTATACATGTACATCTGGATATATGTACATATGCACACATGCATGAACATGTATACGATATGTATATATGCATATGTGTATATATACATGTGCATGTGTGCATGTATATATATATGCAGGCACACACACATATGTGTTTTTATCTATATATATATATATATTTATCTATTTATTTATTATTTATTTATTTATGTACATGTACATGTACATGTTTTATTGTCTTCGTATATATATATATATGTAAGTAAGCATGCCGATATCTGAACACGGTGTGTGTGTGTGGACATGTGTATGTGCATATAACACAAGCATGTCTGTGATTGACAGAAAGGGCGCAACACCCTCCACAACACATAGCCACGAATGAACATCGAAGTCGCATCTATCCCGGCTGCTCCGATTTTTTGGCTTGAAGCATACCGAAAATGGGAGGGGAGGAGGCTGCTCTGGATTATGCTACCTTTACGGGTTTGGGGTTGTAGGCCAGATTGAAGAAAAGGGCCGAAAGGTTGCAAGCATGATGCTGCCGCAGTTTGAGGGACATCGCATGCTGAAGAACCCACCCCCTTAGACTCTAGACTCTCAGGCCTACCCCAAATGGGAGTGGTAGGTATCACTAACTCACTACCTGCTTGAGGAGTTGTCACTTCTCTGTCCAGGAGTAGGCTGCACCAGTAGCGAAGTTCTCTTACTCCAACCTTACCTTTCCCGCCTGAACTTGACCGGGGCAGCAATTTTTGTCTATGGATTCCTAAAGCTGGACTGCTTTGACATGCTGCTGAGCAGCCTATGGTTAAGGCGCTGTTCTTGAGTGCCGAGTCTCTGTATTGAGGAGACGGTGGGATAATCCTACCGCAGAGTCTTGTGGAACAGACTTGTCGTAGACATGGAGGAGCAGGAACTACGAACTTGCAGGAATCGGCTCATTCGTGCAAACCCGGTGCCATGTCTGGTGCCGGCGGTCCCAGGATGGGTTGAGTTGAGTGGCGATCCTAACTGCCTTGCATTTGCAGGAAGTGAAGCAGTACCGCGAAAGTGTGGCCAAGGCCGAGCAGATGCGCTGTATCACACGGTTCTGTTCCGACATGTTTGGTTCAGAGCTTCGAACTTACATCACCTTCGCTCTGAATCGGGATTTCTCCGTTCGGACATGTATGTAAAGGGGTCGGGGTGGATGCAACGCGAGTGAGCGAGTGACTGTGGTGATTGCGCAGGGCGTCTCAAGCTTCCGAGCGAAGGCTCTCGTCTCATGTGTCGTGCTGTCAAGCTGCAGCGCCCCCTCGTAGCACTGAACAGGAACAGGGGTGCATTACTTCCAAGACGACGACTGCTACTACTTCCGCTGCTGCTTCTGCTGCTGCTGCTGCTGATGCTGCTGCTGCTGCTGCTGCTGCTGCTGCATGGCATTACATGACGATCACGGAGCGAACAAACAAACCAAAGAAAGATACACATGCACCCGCTCACGTTCACACACGCCCGCGTTCGCAAGTCTGAACTCCCAAAGACCAAGCACTGGGCAAGGATGCCGCCAGCGGGATCGGCGGAGCTCCCTGGGTACATTTGGCATTTCTTTTGTCTCAAGGGTAGGTCACTTTGGCCCAGGGGTACTTACTCCCACGCAGCACTTGCAACAGTTCTCTCGTTGTTTATTGCAACCTGTTAGGTCATGTTCGTCAAGGAGGACTTACTCCTGTGCAGCACTTTTAGCAGTTCTCTCGTTGTTTATATTTGTTTATTACCACCTGTTTCGCATCAATACTTTCCTCAGCTGTTTTGTGAGGGTGATGTTCCAGCGATTGATTTTGAATTTGAGTCGATTGGTGCTGTGATTATCCTTTCGGCACGGTGTGAGTCGAAAAGTTCTTGGATTTACCTGTGTGGCATGGGGTGTTGAGAATCGGATACAGCTTCGAGCATTGTGGTCTGCGCAGGCCTCGGTCTAAGCGACCTCCAACCAAAGGGGGTCCGTTGAGTCTTACCTAGCTACGGACGGCGCCGCTAGCTTGAGGATGTTTGAGTTAAGACAGGTCAGTAGGACGGACGATTGACGGGGATGTGGCTCGGGTTTGCACTGGGGGATATGATGCTACAAGGCTCAGGACTACCGTATCAGATCGTATAGTCTTTAGGCAACATGTAAACTTGGTCAGTGGCCGTGGTCGCACGCGGATCCATGGCTGTTGCGAGAGGTGAATGGCCACTCTGGCTTCGTGACTTTCGCAGACTGCCGGAATGCCCGAGTGGCTGCCAGCACCAAGCTGCTTTCATGCAGAAGATTTGGTCTAGATTGCATTGTGAGCAAAGTGTAGGTCTGATAGGCAGCCAAGGTACTGGTTGGAGAAATGCCGGACCCAAATCAGTAATCTCAAATGCCAGCGCCTGTAGTCGATTGAGTTGTTACACTGAGAAAGGATTCTGCCAGCAGAATCTCCTAACTGCTGAAATTCTTGTTGCGCCATCTATAGAATCTAGCTGCTTCAACCTGCCAGCACCTGGCGGTGCAGAAAGCAAATCAACCATCAAACCCGAACTGGCCGGGATGTGAGAGTCGAACAAGGGCTTAGGGTTTAGGGTTTAGGGCCCTGAAGTTCAAGCCTGTGGAAAAAGGGCCATGAAGAAGACTAAACAAGCCTCAGGTTTTCCGCGGATCGGACTACTTGGCTTGTCTCCCAAGCACCGGCACCCAAGGAGACCTGGTTTAGGTGCGGCAGAAGACAGATCTGTCATGTGATGTCGATGGTTCAAGTTTTCCAGCCAGGATGTTGCAAAGTCCGCGGATTGAGGCATGTGAGTTGGAGAAGCGACACAGTGTAGACTTCAAATCCCGCGCCGAGACTGGCTTTTCGGGCATCGTTGCTGATACAGCATGCTTCTTCAAAAATCGCGATTTCAAATGGCAGCCCTCTCAACCTATGCAGGACATCATTTGGTCGGATCTGAAGGTGAACGTGGAGCTCCGGACTGCCAAGCGAATTATCGGCTCCCTGACAAGAGGGTAGTCGAAAGGTCGTCATGAGTCAGATTCGAGAGGTTTGCCCGAGGTGGTCTGCGGCGAGTTATCTAGTGGGAGCATGCAAGTCGAAGAATCGCTGTTGGTCCTGTCCTGCACATCGTTATCTCCCCCGACGATGAGGAGAGGGGCTGCTCCTCTTTTCCCGAACCTTGCAAACTCCTGCCCCGCGCACTCAGGATATGGTCTTGTGTTTGGCTTGTATGTGGCTTTCACGCCATTCTGCTTGTTTGCGGCCTGGCTGAATGCGACTTCTATAGCTTTGCTGGGCAGGTAGCTCAGGAGAGCTAGATTCCAGCCTTTAGGGGACCAAGGTCCCATGTTGGCCTAGATATGCCTAGATGCTGGGGGCCGGACGGACTAGATTTGGGTCACATGCTGCTACTACACAATTCTCGAAACGACAGGTGGGTTTGTAGGAAGCAGAGGAAGACTGAGCAAGTCGGGCCACCAGCAGGACTGAGTCGCTAAGCCCATGCTCAGCAACATCATTTCTCAGATCGAACGACACCTACTCGCACCACTACGGCGAGGACGACGACCGCAACCACCTCGAGCACCACGACGATAACGACCAAGACGACGACCACCACCGCCTGCCCTCACCCCGGCGCCACCACCACTACCATCACCACAACGGAGACACAACGAGAACAGCAACGGTATAAACGAAGTAATTACGAGATATTACGAGCATAGTAGTTACCATATGTCATACGCGGTCACACCTAGAATTCATGTTTTCGTTTGTGAAGGCTTCCTCACCCTCACAGGCTTGGATGATGAGACTGCCGTGTGGCTAGGGGCTTTGAAACCAAGGTAACAAACTTGGCGACAACTATCAACCTCGGACCTTTCCAGTCCCTCTGGGCTGCAGCTTGGCTGCGAAAGCGTATAGGGGCGGGCTTTGAGACAGGGAGGAGGGAGAGAGCGAGAGAGAGTGCGCGAGAGCGAGCGAGTGAGCGGGTCTGGGCCGTGTAAACTGACCAGGAAATGTCGGCTTGATTCCGGTTGCAAGGATTTTGGCAGTTTTGCTTCGAATAGGTGGTTCTGGGATTTGAGCCTGGGTTCGACGAGGTGGTTACGGGATTTTTATCAGGTGTTGAGAAGGGTTCCTGTGCACGCCGCTGTACTGTGGTCGGTAGGCGTGAAGCCTTTAACATCATGCACAAAATGCAGCTAATGATTTGTAGGTGCTGACCTCGATGTTGAGATTCGGGTGGGAAGTGGACCGGGAGAGCTCGAAACTATCGCAGCACTTCACACCACAGCCAACAAAGGGACACCTGCCGCCTCCAGCCCAGCTGGTCCTAGCTACACTCTTCAGTTCAAGTCATAAAATCGTGGAGTTGTCGCACAGGCCTACGCCCCGACGTTGGGCTTGCTGATCTTTCTCTCCTTCGCGCCTACTGTCTCTTACCTGAAATGTGTAGTCGTTACGACGAGAGGTCGCTGCAAGGGCAGGGCTTCGGCTTTTTGGTACTCAGCATGTGCAGCAGCATCATCAGCTGCAGCAGTCCTCGCCGTCGTCGTAGCAAATAGCTGTAGTAGAAGTAGTGGCAGTCGTCGTCGTTGTCGTCGTCGTCGTCGTCATAGTAGTAGTAGTAGTAGTAGTTGTTGTTGTTGCAGTGGCAGTGGCAGTGGCAGTGGCAGCAGTAGTAGTCGTAGTAGGAGTAGGAGTTGGAGCAGGAGAAGTAGTAGTCGTCGTAGCAGCAGCCGTAGTAGTCACAGCAGCAGCAGTAGTAGCCGTTGCGGTAGCAGCCCGATGTTGCAGCAGGAGCAGGGGTAGAATGCCGCACTGCTGCACGCTGCACAAGAGTTGCGAGAGCAGTCGGAACTGTTCGAACTTTTGATTCGAATGATCACTGAATGGCCTGTTGACCGCCCTCGTGACAGCCAGGTCCTCATCAACATTTTCTCCTGGCTTTTCAACCTCAAGTCCGAGGTGCGTTCACAGCTGGAGCTGCAGAATTGGCAGCTCGGAGGGTGAGTTTGACCGATACTGCATATGGTTGTTGTTCTTGCTTTGCTGGTGGCCGCTGCTCGCCATTGGATGCAACCGGATGCATGGCTTGACAGACATGGATGCTGTCGCATAGCCTGAAGTCTCAGCACGTCAGCCAAGGTATTTCTGGTTCATGTTATTTTTCGTCATCGGCGTCACTGTAGTTGGTCAGGACGATACGTAGTGATCTTGCTGCACTGAAATGTTTCAGCATCCGACCTGTTTCTATCCGATTCTATCCCCGCTTATCTTGCTTGGGATGCCGGAACTACAATCCGAGCGTACTATCTCGTCAACCACGACAATCTGTCTTGTACGCGCGGTGACTTTGACAACGTTGGCAGCCAGCTCAGAAATTCCTACAACAACCGGAGTCGACGTCGTGAAGACCAAGAGTCATGGCTAAAGCACCAACAACAAAGCCAGCCGCCGCCGCCACTAGCACCGCTTCCACGATCGCCACCTGCTAGACGAAGTCCTCGAAGTCCCGTTTGAAGTCGGGTCTTGAGGAGGATGCTGGAGCGCCATGATCACACTGGCCGTGATCGGTTCAACCTTCTGTCCACACGTTTGCGATGCAAGCTTTTCCTGCTGCAGAGATCGAACGGCATGAAAGCTCTTTCGCAGAGATTCGTATTACGTAGATTCGCAAGACTCTGGGTTCGCGCTCTGATCTTCTGCCAGGACTTTGTGAATTTCGTGTCGCAGGCAAGCAGTGATGCTGGGGAGGTATAACGGCCGGACGGCTAGCTAGGCTAGCAGCCTTGGCCCTTCGTACGCAGCGGCGCAGGAAACAGTAGCCCCAGAGATTCTGGGTTACCACAGCCCTAAGATGTGAGTAGAGTGCTGCGAGTTCGAGACCGTTCAAACTCGACAGAGCTCCTTGTACCCATCCCAAACACAGACCGGAGAAGTTTTTGTAGAGGTCCGGTCCCCAACAACCCCCACAACTTGGAGGTAGCTCAAGATCCCTTGAAGCTTCCGCTGGTGCTGGCGGAGAAGACGCCCGGGGGCAGAAACGGCTGGGGTTGGGCCTTGGAGTTTCCGATGTCCGGCTTGGGGGTTGTTCCTGTGTTCCACTACGACAAAGCAGGGGTCGTGCAGTGCTTGATCCAGCTTCCTCCGCCTGTGCTGCATATTTGGCCTTTCTATCCACACTAAACCTAGATTATCCCTGGAGCTGGACCGAAGCGGGAAAAAAAGAGAGCTCCCACGCGTGCTTCGCGTAATCCAGTTGAGCCGACCGACGTGTCCACAGAGCCTAAGCATGTCGCAGCGGGGTTTCTTGGAGTTGGCCATGTTTGGGCAGGTCCGGCAGGAGGCTTGTCTAGCAAGGCCTCAGTGTGCAGACTGCCCAGCGCTTCCACGAAGGATGCCGTCTTCCACCCACTACTACCTCAACTTCCTGGCACTGCAGTGGGTCACGCACGGGATGAATCTCACTCGATACGTTCCCGCGCCCTGACACTGATGGGTGTTACTCGTGCACATGCAGGTAACGGATGTCACTGAAGCGAAGCAACTTTCCGTCATGCACATGCAAGAGATGTTTGACAGTGCCACAACGACCCCCCTTGCACAAACGGATTCACAAACGTGTCATCGTCCCCTTTCGATGTCTCTCGAGTGACAGGGATGCGTTTGCGAGCTGTTAACTGCAGAGATGCATGTACAGTTGCTACTTGGTAGCTCAATGTTTCCTTGGTACAGCCATGGCACTTGCCGCTACAGTTGCCCTGTTCGATCTTGTTGCGCATGACTCCATAATCATAAGTTCCTGGGACTCGGGAGCCCGAGTAAACCAACTCGGAGCCCAGGATACCGCAAAACTGCGAACCTTCTTGACCTTGCAGCATTAGGAGGCCCGTGCAGATCCAGACAGTTGCGGTGTTTGAGAGACACTCAGGTGGGCAAGTTCGTTGCGGCTTCGAAGATTTGGAGCGAAGAGGCCCAAATCAGCAAATGCCATTGCATTTCACATCGTGTCACAGGTACTTCTTCATGTGTTTTTCTGTGGGGCGATGTGTGGTGAGTATCTTTTTTCGCTGTTGTCGTATTGGGCGCGATTCACATGACTGAGCTGCTCATGTCATGTACTGTGAGCACAACATACTTCTCAATTTCATTGCAGAGAAGCGTGATTCAGCAAACGNNCAGCCAGCTGCGAGTCAACATCTGTAGGGCTGCATGTCAAAATCCAGACCCCCCAAAGGGTTTTGGGTTTTGGGTTTAGGGTTTAGGGGTTTAGGGTTTAGTGACTTCCGCCTCTCCTGTTTGCCGACTGTCCCCCCGATGTTTGTGACTTTCTTTGCTGACACCGGCCCTGCCCAATTTCATTGATGTTCCCACGCGGTGTGAATTTTGCCGTGGGTAGGAGCTCTTAACCCGAGTTCAGAGTGTTCAGATGGAGACAGGACGCTCGCGAACTGGCCGAGCCTGAAGACCAAGACTACTATGGCATGGGCTCCAGGACCGTCTTCGAAAGCACAGAGCCCAAGTCAGCTGCTGTTGATGCAGCAGCCCCTCCCTACTCCTACTACAACTCCGACTTTCCTCCTACTCCCACTACGACTCCCACCTACTGCTGCTACTACTACTACTACTACTACTACTGCTACTACTACTACTACTACTACTACTACTATTACTGTTACTACTGTTGCTACAGCTACTGCTGCTTATACTGCTGCTGCTGCTACTGCTACTACTTCGTATTCTGCTGCTGCTGCTGCTGCTACTAATACTACTACCGTACGACTGCTACCTTTACTACCACTAATTACTCAAGCAGCTACTACCACTACTACTACTACTACTACTACTAATACTACTACTACTACTACTCCTGCTGCTCCTGCTGCTGCTGCTGCTGCTGCTGCTGCTGCTGCTGCTACTACTACTTCCACTACCAATGCTGCTTCTGCTTCTGCTTGCTACTGCTTTTTTAAAGTACTGTTGCCGTTG